AAAAATATCCATGCAGCTTTTATTGTGTGTTTTACAACCACCAATAGTGCAAATGTTGCTCTGCATACCTGTTCTTTATACTAATATATATTAATAATCAAGACTACAGGACTCTATGCAGTGAACACACCACTAGTGCTTCATTGGAATTTAGTAGGTAAATAGCAGTCAGGTGCTGCCAATCAAGCATCTGATTAACTGATTGTCTATAAAAGCAGGATTTTTGGCAGCTTGCTGGTCTGCAGCATTCAAGTGCGCGTGAACACTATGTCACAATCTACCCAGGAGTTGGCGTCTCATTAAATGAATCACTTTATTAGGTAACTCCTGCTGTCAAAGTGTCCTTAAACTCACCACTCTTTACCTTAAATGTGCACCTCCCCTCTCCTCACTTCCCGATTTGTTGCCCCGTAAAGCTCTTCTTCACCTCCTCTCTGCTCTCTTCATCAGCTGCTTTGTTTGAGATCATTTCTGACAAGTCTAACTGTCAGCCTGACTCGCTCACATGCCCAGACCCATGCTTGTGCATGAGTGTTTCAATGCCATAAAAAACCGAGCAGCTTCAGTACAAAATACTTGAATGTATTACCCCTTAAAAAACAAATGTTTACTTCCATTAATCCAGAAAAGTGGACAAAATTGCTCAAGTGCAGTGCCATCTAACAGTCTCAGAACAACTCAACAAGATTTACCTACCAAAATCAAATAATATAAGCTTTTATCTTCAATGGCTTTTCTTGATATCACTTAAATAACACTGTAAATCAATACGTATGAATATAAGTTTACTGTAATGTTCATTTAACAAACAGCCTTTATTTTTCTACATTTGCACTTGCCTATTAGACTTCTGTCTTTTCTTTCCCTGCCTCTAGGAAGGCAGGTGAGACAGCACAAAGAGCCACCAGAGCGGGTATGGCTTGTCCCCTCATATGGGGCTATTATTTTTAAACATGTTTGACTTTTTTACTTGCTTTTAAATCTTATTGTGCCCCGTTTATCATCTACCCTTCCTCAAAAGGTAAATGATAAACCCTCGATGCAAACGTTAGCTGCTTTAACCCCCCTCAAACAAACCCCCACCTTTTTTTCTTAATCAGATCAAGTTGCATAATGAGCATAAAAATGATATTTCAGGCTCTCATACAAATGCTAATGGGGGAGTTTTACAGTCAAATAACCACTCTTGAAAACAAAGTTATGCAGAAGAGCATCTCTGAATGCACAAAAGCTTGAACCTTGAAGCAGATGGGCAAAGAAGGAGCAGAAGACCACACCAGGTGCCCCTCCTGTCAGCTAGGAACAAAAACCTGAGACTGCAGTTCCCACAGGATCACCAAAACAACACAAGACTGGAAATATGTTGCCGGGTCCAATGAGTTTCAGTTTGTGCTGCAACATTCAGATGGAAAGGTCAGAATTTGGCATGAACAACATGAAAGCTTCGATACATCCTGCTGTCAGCCGAG